GTCCCGACTGCTTATTAGCTAAAACTAGTACCCGTCAAAAGACCGTCGGGGATGACAAGTGTGTGTGTGTGTGTGTGTGTGTGTGTGTTGTTGTGTGTGTGTCGTGTGTGTGTGTGTGTGTGTGTGTGTTGTGTGGTGTGTTGTGTGTGTGTGTGTGTGTGTGTGTGTGGTGTGTGTGTGTGTGTCGTGTGTGTTGTGTGTGTGTGTGTGTGTGTGTGTGGTGTGTGTGTGTGTGTGTGTTGGTGGTTGTGTGTTGTGTGTGTGTGTGTGGTGTCATGTCATTTTCTAACTTGAGTCCAGACAATATATCGAAGGTATTAAGTTCTTATTTGACTGGTGTATTTCGTTGAATTGTTTTTCCGTGTATGTTTAGTCTGTGGAAGAAATTGTCTCTGTTGTGGGGAATTGTAGTTGAAATTGGGGGGAAGGCAATTAGCTGATACACTGAATTTAGTGGTGTTCGGATAACAAAGGACTTTCACCCCCTACACCAATGATATAGTTTGTGACTTTTTATTCCTGTGTTGTGACTCGGTCTCGTTATCCATAGTTGTAGGAACTTCCTATATTTCCAATTGTATTCACACACAAAGACTCTCCACCCACACCCCTTTGGGAAATGACCTACTATATACTCTACCGTCTCACATGACCACGTCCGATGACCAGACTGTAATTGAAGGAGGGAAAGGACATACAAGGTGAAGGACAATAAGAATAAGGTATTAGGGAACTCAATATCAAAATGATTTTTGAGACTGCGTTTCGTATTTTCCCGTCGATTTTCTTTAGTTTGGTACCTGTTACCCAGTTGTTTGTTGTTTTCACCAATCAGCCTAAAATCTTTCACTACACTTTGTTTCAAGTGGATGTTCCAGAATTAATCGGTGACATACTTTTAGTCTCGACGCGGTAAGAACAACCAATATTATTAAGTTTATGTAAATTTTTCACTGACTGTTCTTCTGACAAGGTATTTCTATGGAATTTTGATCGTTGGAAATGGACAATTCGTGACTCGGACAAAAAAGTCCAGAGTCCGACGCTTTTACTTGGTAAGGTCTTGTTTACTGCGTATAGAAGGGAAGATTTTCCCAATTTAATTATATATAAAAGAGTTTTCATTACTATTTGGACACTCAACCCTACATGTTCTCAGTCTTAGTTATTATTTCTACAAAATAAAAGCTTTTTTAAGTCTAACTTCATACATTTCTTTGCATTTCATATCACAGGCACGGTTTTTTAAGAAAAAATGAATATACTTTGATGGGGAACCTACTACCATTCCATCTGAATTTTCGAAATCCTCTAGGTTTCATGTCGTATATCTATTCATGGGACATAGTTCTAACTACGTTTGTTCACTGTAAACTGTAAAATCGATCAAATCCAGTTTTGATACGATAACAGGTGCTGTCAAAACGTACTCTTCGCTTGGGATAGAGAGCGGACTGTAGACCTTTACCTTTTCGTCCAACAATCACGAATACCTCAATAGTCCTTATTAAAGTTCCCTTGCTATCTGTGTAACCTCAATGGATACCTAATTGAAGTCGTCCCGCAAAAAATAGCAAAATTACGGGTAACTTCCTGGTCAAACTGGGTCTCGTTGCTGGTTCCATTCGGTAGAAACGGCAAAATCCCGATTGGATGTTCGGTGTACAAACTCCAGACTTAAAGAACAATTAATCAGAAGCCGTTCAAGAATAGTAGCCCTCACTACTACGATTGCATGGATAGCTGAAGACACAGTAGAGTGCCTTACGCTTTAAATTCGTTACCTTTAACGAAATTTCTAGTCTGTTACACTTAAAAGGGACCTAAAAAAAAAAAGGAGTAAAACAGAGAAGTATTCAACTCCATATCGGATCCTACTCTTATCGTCCGCGCGTAAGAGTAGAAAAATTCCCCTCTTGAACGTTGTTTACCACGACTGATTTTATGAAAAAACGGGGGGTGACATCTATCTGTTATTCACACGTCTAACGTCCAGAGGCGAACTTTTTCTCTTATGTCATATACTAGAGTTAGCTAGTTAGACCAACTTGATTTCCAAAAACTTATTTGTTTGTAAAAACTTTAATGTATAACGATCGATAAAAAATGGACTTTCCATTCGACACACGAACAAGACCTTCACAGAAAAGTTCGTAATCGTAAAAACACACCAAACCGATAAACGAGTGTTTTTATAGTTCGTATGTCCACTCGGTCGTAACAACCGCACATTTTCGTTCCTTAGTCTTAATTGAGAGCTAAAGCAATTTTTTTTAATCTCCAACTCTTTTTCGTCGTAGCTGAAGAAGTAACTTACACGACAGAAAGTATGGCCAAATGACAGTCAATCGTCCAGTGTCTTTGACCCGTCCACTTATCCACTTGTCCTCTCTTCTAACTACGTACAAGACAGGTACAGTTTGTATACACTTTAAAGTGTTCGACGGTTGATTCGTTTTCAGAATCGTAGAACGGAAGAAATACAGAAACCCAAAGGAGATAATTCATGTCACCTTAAACTTTGCGTAATTTTGTCCACGTGTAACGGTCCTTTAGGAGGGGTTTGTTTTACCGCTCATTGTCTTTTTTTTTTGATTTAAGCCGTCTTAATATTGAGTTTGTCGTTAGGTTTTTAGTCGAGAGGTTAATTCGGTGAAACTGAAAGAATTTCGATTATTCGACCGACCGCCGCCCCGCGGGAGAGAAAAAAAAAGTCAGACAAAAGGAGTTCCGTTGTTTGTTTCATTTAACTTCCTTTGGACTTGTAAGTTCGAAGTAGTTCCACGAGGAGTAACTCTTTTTACCTGCCGCTTTGTTCATCTTTAGTCACACGTGTGAGGGAGAGGGGGGTGGGGGCGGGGTCGGTGTTTACAGTAAAACAAACTGGTGGTGTGACCAATGGCCATTTACAATTATTATTACTATTATTAGCATTGGTCTATATTTTGGTTGACACTAAGCCAGAAAAAAAACAAAAACATAAATAATAATATAAAAAATATATAAATAAAATCGATTTTTAAAAATAATATTCGATTATGGAGACTGTAATGAATATTCGAATAATCACTGGCATCCCTAGTGAACAGCAGGCAGGCCTGTCATGAGGAGTCCAGATGGTGGGTGGAGAAAGCCCTCCTTTAATCCCAGAGCCAGGATATTATACCCCCCTTCACCACACACACACACACACACACACACACACACACACACACACACACACACACACACACACACACACACACACACACACACACACACACACACACACACACACAAATCTGTACCTCCTTTCGGCTTTTTCACGACCCCATACTGAGTTTGTCCACTTTTCCTTTACGTGGCATTATCCACACTCTATTACTACTGTGGTGATAGATCCAAACTGACAATGTGATAAATGCTGAGTGCTAGTCTGGTGAGTTAAAGGAAACACTGACAAGTGACACATGAACAGAAAACTATGAATTCAATGACAATATCTGTGTAAATAAAGTCCTAGAATGTTGTTACATATGTACACTTAATTGTCTCTCAAAAAACAAGGACATTTTCTTGCATTCTCTTGTGATTGAACAGTTCACTTCAAGTTTTGTGTTAGAGTAATCAGATATTGTGTTCATTGTTGAAAGCCTAATTGTAGACGTTTTGCTAATATACAATATTTAAGTTATATAGAAACCTATGTTTGATCTATATACGCCACTGCAACCTTCACTGAGGCTCTTCCCTGTGACCGCCTTACCAAAAGTGAAACTAACAGTCATTGTGACCTCAGAAAATCCAGTGAAATACATTTTTCTATTCTCTGTTAACATTTCTCCTGCTAATATTTGATCATAAATGCGTATGCAGAGAGGAGGGAGGCTCCCCTTGCATAAAATCAAAAAGAAATGTATTTAATGTCTGTAAAACATGTAAAGCAACATATAGCTATGCTGGAACTACTATCAGACCGTAAATTACAGCAGTTCTATGAGTTTATAATCGAATTATTGACTTTACCTTTTGTCCTCAATTACATTTGTAGGTTAATCACTGTTGTGTCATTATCATTATCACTGACAGTGAGTGAAGAGTTGAATAGAGTCAGGTCATGTTTGATTTGTACAGCTCTTATATTGTGCTGTGTGTGTCACTTGCACATGTTGCTGCATGTCGACATTGATCATCCTGCAGCTTTGATATTTCATATGAAATCAAACAAAGGGTGTGTGTGTGTTTGTGTCTTTTTATTTGTGTCTAAGTTTATGTGAGCCCATCATTGTTTTTACGCCCTTTGCTATTTTCTCTTTAATCTTTTATGTGCATATTAAACGGCTGTGTTGAAAGAGTGTGAGCTGTCCCTACAGACTATGCCCTACATATCACAGACAGACTAATTAGAGTTTTCTCCAAGGGGCGGTATATTCTCCCTTTTCTTCACTCTCAAAACAAACACATGTCTACCCCTGATCTCGATAAAAGCAGTTACCAGAAGAGCTTTTGAATCTCTTCTCCCATCACGCATGTCAAGCATGTAGTCTCAGCTATTGGAGACTTCAAAATGGTATATTGCTCTTATTCCTCCACTCTCATTTTCATCTCCTCTGCACTAAAACTGAGTCTGTGCTTGTGTTAAATAAAACATGGGGTGGCTTGAAACAGCTCGAAGCTCCCGCCTCAGATGCGGGGGGGAGTATTAAAATATCTGCTCGTATTTCTTGTTATAGTGAAACGTGTGTTTTGTTGTTGCAGATAGGAAAGTCAAAGCTGATGAGGGGCCCTGCGTGGCGGTGAAAATCGAACACTCCAGAGGTAGGAAACATTGCTTTATGCCCGAACCCCTCCCTTCTTTAATCTCTTTCTTTTAAATTAAGTATGTATTATTTTGTTGCTGCAAACGCCTCTGGGTGTTTACTGTTCAATTAATAGGTATATATATCTTAACCGTGTTACAGTGGTTTCCTGTCTGCATTTGTGTTGCAGTCCTTCACTTAACTTGATCCTTATCTTGTGATGTGTGTGAGGTAGCGCAGCCACAAGCCAATTTAAGATGCAAAGCTTTGTTTCTTGTCAGCCACCTCTGATTCACAGCAGGAGGGCTGCACGTGTTTGCATTTCAAGTTAAATAGCGTGGTTAGAGTTTCAAAGCCTTTTAGTGCTTTCTTAACTTGACCAAATCAGATGATGTAATGAAAATAGGCTGCAGTGAAGACGAGGTGCCCAGAAGGGATGTAGGAGGATGCTGTGAAGGGCAGCATGAAGTCACCTCCCTGCTGCAGGGCGCTGAAGGAAGCTGCTGGCCTCGGCTCTATTTTTATATAGAACTCTCTCTCTGTGTGTGTGTGTGTGTGTGTGTGTGTGTGTGTGTGTGTGTGTGTGTGTGTGTGTGTGTGTGTGTGTGTGTGTGTGTGTGTGTGTGTGTGTGTGTGTGTGTGTGTGTGTGTGTGTGTGTTCACTTTTTCTAAGTTTCCCTTTACTGTGTCTCATTCACTCCTCAAACCCATCTTTCCTTTCAATGCTCTTCCATCCGTCAGTCTGTGCTCGTATATTTTCATCATCATCTCACTTTCCGTCCTTGTTGTCTGTTAAACCCTTTTTTTTCCCTCACCTCCTGCCTTTAGTTCATCCCTGTGAAATAACTCCACTAGGTCCAGTACTCTCTTCTCTCTATTCCCATGTCTCCACTTCCCCTATTACTTCCCTCCCACATTCTTTTTCATCCCAAAGGCAGTCCCCCGGGGCCCCCTGGTTCAAAGCAGACAGGGTTTCTAATCTCACACTGGCCCTTGGATTAGATGGGCCGTGTTAATCTAAAGAAAGTCTGGGTAGTTTAACAGAAACAACTAATCCCCACGCCTGGTGGTAATGGTTGTGTGTCACCCTGTCTGTCACTCACACACACGCTTTTTGTACCAGCATGGTAGACGCAATGAATGCTGTGCAGAGCAAGACACGTGCTGTTATCTCATTGAGTGAAGTAGGGCCCTTACGTTATAAACAGTGTTTTGTGTGTGGTCATGTAAGGTGGGAAGCAGCCGTTTGAGTCACTTTGTCATTTGCGTCTTTAAATGGTCTTTTGGGTGTCACCTCATTTCTTAAAATTAATAAGAAAACAGGTTTCCTTAATTGAGAGATCCAGTTTAATACTGCTGGAGAAACCTGGCTTCCTCTGCCATGCATGAATGTATTTATGTTGAGGTAGAGAGAAAATACATGAATATAAATCAATTTTCCAGCTACACAATTCGTTAATGGTGGAATGTAACCATATTCGACTGAAGAACCTATCCTTTAATTGAGGAATGCTTCACCAAAAAAATTATTATTTGTTTTGCAAATACACATACCATGTGTTATCTTAACTTCTATCTTAAATTTAGGAAAACAACAGTTTTTTTCTGGCTTGCCTAAACGGTGAGAATTTTTTTAAAAAAGTATTTACGAATTGACGGAAATGGGATTGCTTTCAACAACAATATAAAAACATAATTATTTTAATAAACGCCTTCAAAATTCCTTGGGCACAATCGGAGTATTATTTATCCTGTAAAAACACTTCCCAAACGCATGTATTTTCACTGAAACTAGAGATGTCCCGATCCGATCACGTGATCGGGGATCGGAGCCGATCACGTGATTTTCAAAAGATCGGAATCGGGAGAAAAAAAGGCTCCAACAGAGCAACACAATAATACAGAAAAACAGAAAAATATAGTGCAAGTAAATATTAAAAAGTAAATACCGGTACAAAAAGAAAAAGTTTAAAAAAAGTGAAGTAGTGAAATAAGAGTCTATATGCAAGCTATTGGAATGATATATTAGATAAATAATGACTAAGTAGCAGATGAATGTTATGGATGTTGCAGCGACGTGCGGTCAGGGGAGGCAGGGGAGGCAGAGCCTCACCTGTCATACTCCAATGTAACGGAAAAACAACTAAAGAAAAACTAAATAGTAATAATAAAATGTCTCCACTGATCGGTGTTGTAAATGTGCTTTATGTATGATTCCAATTGCTTTTTAAAGTCAAAATCAGCAAATTTGCCGAGCTCCGCTACAACTACGGGTAGCGATGAGAAGTGAGGCAGGGACGAGCTCTGCCTCTCGTAAGCCCACAGTAACTTGCTGGAGCACGGGCACTAATTTAGCGCGGGCACTTATTTTGTGAGCGCGCTCAAGCCAGTTACGGTTGGGTGAGGTGAGGCACAGATGAGCTCTGCCTAACCTCAGAATGTGTCACCCCACAGAAACTGGCTGGAAAGCGGGCCCTAAGCGCATGCCTGTTACCATCTCACTGTAGGTCACCAATGTAATGTTTGTAGATCCTTTTATTACATTTATCCTCGCCATCCATACTCTCTAAATAACTTATTTCACGTATGATATTTAGGCTCGCTGGTCTCATCATATAACGGCAATGAAAAAAGCACCAGGGGAGGCAGTCATAACCTCTGCCGCACTGAAGGGGGCGCACATGATCCCACAGGTTCTTGTTGCTACTGTTATTCTACGCAGAGACGGTAGACACAAACAACAAACTAGACGTTTGAAACTGCAGGAAGATAAGGAGGACTTTTACAAAAAACTAATAGAGATTGTTGTCCAGAAGGAGAGCATGGACTTAATCTTCAAGTCAAAGTAAGACCACAATTGTCATGAAAGTGGGATCTTACTAAGAAAGAACAATCCAATATTTAGATTTTGGGTAGGCCTATCCTTTTGTTGAACGGTCTGTTTAAAATGAATCGAAGCATCAGACTAAAAAAGCTTTTGAAAATAACCGAATATTTTGATTAAGATTGATTTAATTAAGATTAAAATGTTAAGGTCAAAATATAATATTTGTAAATCTGACTCTGAAAGAGTCAGTGCTTCACCAGCCATGAACCTCACCGCACGTCACTGCTAGTAGCTAGCACGTTAGTTAGCATTACAGCCTTGCCATTTTTATTAGCCTTAACATGAAGTAATATTAAGTAACCCAACATGTTAAATCGTAAGAGTAGTCGTCATATTTCTTGAACCCTTTGAAGAGTACTGTCACACCGGTGTGATCATTCTATAATACACAATTTAAGCCCGGGGGAGAAATGCTAACGCTACATTAGCATCTGCGATCTTTTCTACTTTACGCTATCTGCACAAATGGTTGACATTAAACATTAAAAAGACCAGGCAGTTCAGAGAGAATCAAAGAACCACTATTGTGGTAAGCATGTTGTAACTTCCGGTTGTTGTTGTTGTCATCTCCGGGTATACCGTGTGCCTGTTCTGTTGCTGATAGCTTATTATCTTAACTTAATCGATCGTTTTAAAACTCTTGATCACGGCAACTGCCTGACGTTGTAATCACACGTTACTACAGCTTATCCCCCCTTGCCGCATTCTCTCTCCGATGGAAAACGGCACGGGCGTGGCCGCTTGTACCCGAGGAATGACATCGACTCAATGAAAAAATTCTACGCACACTAATGTCCCTAAATGTATACCGATACTAAGGGCGGAGGTTGGATTGTTGATATGAATGTAAATTGTGTACATAAGCCATGGCTCATTTCCGTCCATCCCTTCATTTGGTTTGTCACTCTGTCAATCTCGGTCCTTATCGTGGGCTGGCACCCCTTTTCTCGGTACCGATCGATAGGTAGATTTCAATCGATTGGCAATCGTTTGGGCTTTTCTCACATCCCGTTGCACCTCAATGTCCAGCGATTCTCTTCCTCTAAA